TAAACAAGACAACTATGCTGAGAAACAAGTTGAGTGCAGTACTACCATGGATGTGGTGGGGAACTTCTTGCTTATGAAACATGTGCTTCACCACTACATCACTATCACATATTAAAAACCTCGCATTGAAAAAAAAAGGACTTAAATCCAATCATTTTGTGGAAAACTCTAAACCAAGCTGAACCATTTAAACTCTATATATATATATACACAAATTTAAAATTGCTTTGTTCTTTAATGAACATTGATCACTCTTTTTTGTAGAATACATTTTTAAAATTGTTTAAATATCAAACCCATTTTTATGCAATACTTTGCAAACTACAAACTTTTATAAAAGAGTAAAGTACATATAATGTTAATAATGTTAGAAATAATTCTTTATTTCTTTGTTTCTTTAAAATAATATTTTTTTAATTACGATGACTTTAAAATTTTTAGAGGTTGAAGAGCAAATGTTTGGAACTTTTGAAGACGATGTAAAAATGTTTATACAAGGATGTGAAAAAGTCAATATCCCATTAAAATTCCAGTCATTAACAGCTTCCAATATTACTCCAGAAATAGTTGAGTTTTTTAAAAATGAATTGTAAAGTGTATATAATTAAAGTATATATAATTAGAAATTTTATTACATTATAACATTCAAGAATATAATGTTTGCACTTAGTTTATAAAGTTATTTGATTTTTACAAATAAAAAATTGAATTTTTTTTGTAAAATACACACACACACGCACACACACACACACACACACTTGTCTTATAGCCTGAAAGTTATTTTTGTAAAATTACACTTTAAATTTACCTTATATTAAAAAAAACACATGTAAAAGTTAATTTAAAATAGCTACTAGATTAATGTAAACTTTTTAAGTTTTTCTGTTTCTCAAGATAAAATTATGTAAAATAATAATTATTTAGTAACAGTTGTCAATGTTGATCTTTTTTAACTGTTTAAGAATTTTATTTAAATGTTTTCTGTTAACATTTTGATGCTTTGTGTTATAGTATTATCATGGCAGTATTAACATTTAGGCCTCATCATGGCAATACTTCTTTTCCTGATCTTGATCCCATAGAAATTTTAAAATTATCTATAAAAAAGCATAATTATTTTTAACTTCATTGAAGTTTAGCATACCTCAACGAATTCCAGCAACAAATAAAAAACTAAATATTATGTCTATTGTGATGAATATCAACTTTTATATTTGTTGTGTTTTTGATATATTTGTAATAAAGCATATTTTATAAAAGTAATCAATTTGTTTTTAAAACAGCTATAGTCCAGATTTTTATTGATGACTTAAATTAAATATATATATATATATATATATATATATATATATATATATATATATATATATATATATATATATATATATATATATATATATTAATTGTAGATGATTTTAAATAGGGACCTTCTCATCCACTTCAAATTGAGTCAAGTAACTATTCTTTGCAAACGTTTGGTAAAGATACTACTCTTTCTTCTAAAGAAATTAAGGTTTATTTACTAATTGATTCACTTTTATTGTATTTTTAGGTAATTATTTGTTATGTCTCTGTTCTTCTTATATAAATATTCATTTAGGTCAAGTTTATTGGTAATAATAACAAACCTTTAGCAATTTTAATTGTTCATGTTGAACTTCATCCCCATGCAATAGATCAAACATTCCGTTTTTACAATCCTGAGCAAACATTTTTAAAGAAATCTATTCGTTTACCACCGATGCATACATTGCCTGGTAATTTTTTAGAATCATTTTCAATTTCAAAACTGGTATAAATATATTTTATCTTACTTAGTGTAAGTTGTTATACAAATAAAAAAGTTTATTCTACTGAAAATGAAAAAAACTAATTGTAATAAAAAACTAATTGTAAAAATTGAAAAAACCTAATTGTAATAAAAAGATAAAACAATTATTTCTTAATATTTTTAATATTTTTTAAATTTTCAATAAGTTATTATTAGAATAGTTACAGTTTTTATTTCAACTAATAATAACACAGGTTCAAGTGTTACTGATGATACATCATATCCTCATTTGATTTCTCTTTGCACTGATGAAGATGCAGTTTGTGAAACTCATCCAGTAGTGAGTTTTTTTGTTTGTTTTGTAAATTTAAGTTCTGATTTGGTGTTAAATACATTTTTATTGTCAATGATCATTTATTTGAATTTTTTAATTTTATTTTGTTTTAATTTTTAGAATTCTGGAGAACCACATGAAGTGTTTTTAAAAGTACCTTGTGGTTTATCACCAAGTGTTAGAAGATTTTTTATTCTCATTTTCATGTGAGCTTTTAAAAGGTTTATTGATCTTTTTTATTATTAATATGTTAGACATATCTTTTATTTTTTTCATTTTGCATAGAGATGAGTTTTGCGTTAAACCTTGTCAGATCTGGCAGATCTTTGTGCACTCTTTGCAGAAGTGAGTTTGAATTTAAAATACATATATGATTTTTTCATTTTGTTATTTTTTTTTTTTTTCTTTTTTATTTTACTTCTCAAGGTTGAGTACCATAAGATTTTTATTAAAGTTGAGGAGGAGGAGGCTACTCTTATTTATTATTATTATTATAAGGTTACAACTATGTAAATTCTGTCTTTAGAGTATAATTTTTTTTTTTTTTATGAAAGAATTGATATCAGTGCAACTGAGGGCCAAACAAGCAATTTTTCTGTGCTTTTGAAAGGAACACAATCATCTAGGATGGTAAAATGTTATTCTTCACACCCAGATGAATTAAAGGTATTTTAAACAACTACATGTTTAACTACAATTTAAAAAAAATTTTTTTGCACATGAGTACGTGAAGTAAACCACTAAATTATCATTTAGAATGTTTATATTTTTAAGTTGAAAAAATATATGAAATTACAAAAAAATAATGTCTTTATATACTTAAACACTATTTTCTTTCTCTTAATTGCTCATTTTTTGATTTTTTAAATTGTTTTAAAGGTATTGCCTAATGATCCATTTATGCTGATTGCAAATGCTGTTCAAGAAATCACTCTTTATTTAAGCCCTTTAGAACCAGGGAAAAGAATGATGTTTATTAATGTAGTTGGTATGATTTGCATATTTTATGATTTTCTTGGTGTACATAATTGTATATTTAATTAATTATGTTTTTATACAGCCTATTTTAAAAATGATTCTATTATTTTATTATGTTTATCTGTGTGTGTGTGTGTATATATATATATATATATATATATATATATATATATATATATATATATATATATATATATATATATATATATATATATATATATATATATATATATATATATATATATATATATATATATATATATATATATATATATATATATATAGATCAAGACTTTCATCAATTAGTTAAATCTTGGTTAGTAATGACTAGTTGCATTCCTCCAGTGATATCTAAAACATTTGAAGTTCATCTTAAAGTGGGTTCTGGCTCAAATAAGGTTGGAACAACATATTACATTACAACTTTATTTTAACATACATGTTGTATAACAACTTTATATATTTTAGAAATAAATATGCTAAGTCTAACAAAATTCAAAGTAATGCAAATAACTGCTAGTTTATAGTATATCTTATGGTGTTTCTTTAGTGCTTCAGATTTTTTTTGAATTTTTAATTAATTTTTTTTTTTTTTTTTTTTTTGATTACTAATTGGAATGTAAAGTTATTTTATTTATTTAGAAAATTTCTTTTACGAATCCTTATCCTGTGAAAAGAAATTTTTATTTTAAATCAAATCGCGAAGACTTAATCAGATTGAAAGAAGAAGGAGTTATGGTATAATATAATTGTGTCATTAAACTAATTAATATAATCTAATAGTATAAAATCTTAAATCGACAGCTGGAAAATAATATATAGAAAGCAAAAAATACAAGTTATATAAGTAATTGTGTTTGAATTTAGCTTGGTGGTGGTGAATCACATAATATTGGTATTTTATTTCTTCCTCAACAATCTTCAGGATCAGCTAATGTTTTAATTTTTATCAATGACAGATATGGAAAAAACGAGGAATCTTTTTGTATCAAAGTTGAATACTCTCTGTAATTTACTTTTGTTGTGTATTTTACTTTTGACTGTGTGCATTTTTTAAAATATTAATATATAATCATAATATTTAATATTTTTAAATAATAGTATATATTGTTAATAAAGAATATTGTTCATATTTATACATATAATTATTTTATAAAAATGTAACGCGTTAATATAAGATAATAAAATAATATAAATACTTTTAAAAGATTTCAATGTATTTCTATACTGTCTTTATTTATTTTAAATTTTTTTTAAATTTATAAATTAAAAAAATGTTCAAAACACAAATCATTTAACTTTAAAGTTGTTAATAATCTTGATATTTAAGATAGTGTGTATTGTACATTTTTATCAGTTTACTTGTTTGCAGTTAAGATGATTTACAAAATATTTCTAAAGAAACAAAATAAATATTTCGAGAATGTATTTAATTTTTTGCATTTAATTTTTTTTGTGTGCTACATCACGTTATGTTTTAATTTAGATTTTATATCTATTAACAATAAATTAAAGGTTTATCTAAAATTGTCAAATCATTAGGCGATAAAAATGTTTTTTTATTAGAAAAAGTACAGTTTTACTTTTGCTTGACGAATATGGATATGTTATATATAGATATGTAGGTTGTAAAAACATATAGAGCTTTGTTAAATATAGTTTATTAACTATAAAAGCTTATACTATTTAGTTTAACAGATCTTGGCGAAAAAGACTTAAACGTAGGTTTTTCTTGAATTGGAATTTTAGCTTTAAAAACAATAATTTTATGAGTCTCCTGAGACTTTTATAATATTAAGTGAAGTTGAAAGGTAGATTAAGTGAAGTTAAAAGGTAGATCAAGTTTTCAATTATCTTTTAAACTGGTTTCTATAACTATTAAATAGTGTAAACTAGTTTCAAAGGAAGTGAAAATAGATGGAATCAGTTTATCATCGTTTTTTTCAAAAGATGGTAAACATTCATATTAAAATTAGTTAAAATAGTTTTTAGATTTCGGACAGTAAATTGTATAGATTGTTATGGAATAACAAACTAGAAACTTATTATTTAATGTAAAATTTGTGATTTATTAACATTAACATGTCAAGTATTGTTTAAAAAAAAAATGCCAACAATAACTTGAAAATTTTCTTTATGTTTTTCACGCACACATTTATTGCATTCATACTTGTTTATGATTTTGCTGATTTATCTATAATTATTTGAGGTAATGTTTTGGTAAATTATTGTTTATTAAAATAATTATTGCTGATATTTTTCTAAATTATATTTATTTATATATTATACCCAATAGTTTTTCTAATTAAATTATAATAAAGTTAATTTCATTAAAAACTATGGTAATTCGTGTACATCAAAATGTGAATTTTGAAAAATAAAAGATAAATTATGTAAAAAGTTACGCAAAAACACTATTGTTAATTTTTTGACATTTTATTTTTATTTTATTTATAATTGTCAATTTAGATAAACATTATATAACAATTAAATATGTTATTTTACTCTTTCTTCAAATCGCTCGTTGGCAAAGAGGTTATAGTAGAATTAAAAAATGATCTCAGTATCTCCGGAGTTCTCGATTCAGTAGATCAATTTTTAAATATTAAACTTACTGACATTAGTGTTACAGATACAGAAAGATATCCCCACATGATGTCTGTTAAAAACTGTTTTTTAAGAGGATCAGTAGTACGTTATGTTCAACTTCCTCCTGAAGATATTGATGTACAATTGCTACAAGATGCAGCTCGCAAAGAAGCTGACCAACAAAAAAAACAAAAAGACACGAAAGATAAAGAGTAAGCAGTTAGTTTAATGCGCCAATCCGACTTGTATGGTTAATAGAATTTAATATTTTGAGTTTATTTTGCAAGAATATTCATATTAATATTTAATAATATCTATATTGAATAATCTTCAAATCGCTTAAAGTTGTTGTTTTTTTAGTAATTATTATTAACTTATTTTTGTTATATTTTTTTTACATACCCATTAAATATGTATTTTTTAGTTTTAATGCATATTTTTTTAACGCTTTTCATAATACCGCAACAGCATTTTTTGGTTTCAGTAGTTTATTAAAGTCTATTAAACGACAGTTAAAACCTTTAAATAACTCGTATTAGATTACCTAGTGTGCATAGCATACTATTTTTCACCTTTTTTAATATTATAGCATATGTAATTATTAAGATGAGTTTAGACTAAATCCATCTTAATGATAACCCTATAGTTTATAATTGAGTTCCTTATCTCAGGTTAGAAAAGTCCTATTGTGGCACAAGCTTTATAAAGCTGTGTTTGAAATACACAAATTAATGAAAAGTATAAAAACTCTATTAATCTTAACGGATAGTAAAAAAATCTATTAATTTGTGTATTTCAAATACAGCTTTATAAGCTTGTCCAACAATAGGAAATCAAAATAAGAAATGCAATAACGTAATATAATAAATAATAATAATAATAATAATAAACGTAATAATAATAAGAAATTCAATAACCCTAACATCACAATATATAACTATATTTTGATGTTAAGTTATTGAATGCTCCTGGAGGTCGGTTAGAGTTGTCGACTATGCGGCACTTGTGCAGTAAAACTTGGCGTATTTCAATAATAACTTTGGTATTCGTGTTTGACCAAGCGAAGTCTTGCATTTTGAGTTTTTACACTTGTAAGATTAATTGCTATTAGTATAAATATTGTTTTCAATGCAAATAAATGCACCTTATTAAGTATCATTATACTACTAAAATCTAAATATTTATAATTATATTTATTGTCAGTTTAAACACTATTAATTAATAAAAGCTCTATTTGCCAAGTTATTAATTTTATTTAACCCATTTTTAACTTACCACATTTAATCTCGAATCCCTAATAAAAAAGGGTGATGTTTATTAATTTTCGGTAAATTTTCCCACCCACCCCAAGCTTATTAATTTTTACTTAATATTAAAAAAAAAATCAGTGAAAATTGGCCTTAAAAATTAGAAAATAATTCTTTCAGTCACTGACGAAAAAACTTTTTAGTGTTATCAGGCTCTAAAAGTCACCGCCAAGTAAATCTCGATTTATCGAAAATGAGCTTTTAATTTATTTCTTACTCAAGTATAAAACTATTAAAATAATTATAAAACAGCTGTTAGAAAATGGGCGTTTGACCGCAAGCCACGCTAGATTTAAATAGTTTTATGCGTGTTTTGTAAAAACTACTAAAGGAGGATGGGTAGGAGTGAGCCACTTTTTTTTTAAATCGATTATATCAAGGAAACCAAAAGTGGAAAAAGGATAGGATAAGGAGCCTAAGGTATTAGGTTTCTAATAGTAATACATGAAATATCAAAACATCTTCTGATTTTTGATAACTTGAACAATAACGCAGGTGTTGCTACTGGTTCACTCCTACCCATGCATGGGTAGGAGTGAACCAAGCAAATGGTAGCAGTGAGCCATTACCTTGGATTACCATAAAACTTTAAAAATTAGGTAAGTAACAAAAACTTTATAATTAAGCATAACATAGTTAAGTAATAATAAATATGTAACATAAATAACAATAAGTTTAACACAATTTTAAACTCATTTAATGAAATGAACAAAATGTATAAACTACCAGAAAAATAATTTGTTTTCAGTAACAACTGATTTTGACAACAAAACAAAAAACTGTCATGATAAATGATAATTTCCAAATATTAAGATATAATAAAAGTATATATATGTAATGAAAGTAGTATATTAGCATTAGCGTAGTATATTGGCAATAAAAATATTATTTACCAAATACTGATATAGTCAAATACACCCTCAAATTTGTAATGGCAATGCTGCCTTTAACTGTTCTGGAAAGAGTTGGCCGAGGTAGCAATGTTTTGGAAGCTATTGCAGTTACTCTAATCCTTTTTTCTTTTTGGATTAAATGAAATGCATCTTTCATATCTTTAGTGGAATTTTTTGCTTTCGAAGTTGTTCTTTTATAGACTTGAGGCATTCAGATTTATTTTTATTATATTACATATAGTAAAAATAAATGTAATGTTGCACACAAGTTTTCTAATGATATACTAAGATATAAAAGTCAAACATGAATATGTTTTTACGCTGAAGTCAAAATTTTTTTAACGTAAAGTATTAGTGAGCCGCGGTTCACTCCTACCCGTGAAGGAATGGCTCATTCCTCCCCTAGCTGTACAACTGGATTAAAACATTAAATGTGAAATAAGTACGTGGTTTAAGTACTTTGTTTTAAAAACTACATTGTTTATTAGTAAATTTTGAACCACTATCTAATGTCTCGAAACAACCGGTATGCTCGTTAAAGAAGTTTCAAAAAATACAAAAAATTTACTTTTGCACAGAAAAGAGTGGATGACAACGTAAATGCAGACACCCGCACCAAAAAGTAGATTATTAATTGGATTGTGTTAACAACAATTTGTATGTAACTACTTGGTGAAAATTTTGAGTCTTTTTTATTTCCCGTTTTAGCTGTAGGATCAACAATTCACTCCTACCCTTGGCTTACTCCTACCCATCCTCCCCTACTTTGAATATATAAACTGAAGTTTTTTATAAAAAATATTTATATTGTAACATAAAAATCTACCCCGCTTCCTCCCTTTTTTTTTTAGATTTGAAATAAAATTCCCCCTCACTCTCCTCCTACCTCCATCCTTTTATTCCCTTCCCCCACCCCCCTTGTATAAAGGATTTGAGAGTAATTTTTTATTAAGGGTTTGTTCATAAATAACGCAACGCAATTTTTGACCGTTTTTAAATAACTCTTCACCTACTCCTAACCTCCTCGTCGTTACTCTTTAGTAAGAAGTCCTGTACGAGTCTTCATATCTTTATTTATAAAATAATTCTCTGCAACATGATTTGAAAATATTTGAAAAAAGTTGAATAATCAAAAAGATAAACATTGTCATAAATATGTCATAATATTCTCTATCTCATTCTACCCTGTTTTGCTCTAAAGTTTTGTTAAAAAATTTTTTTCCCAAATATTTAAGTTTTTTTGAAAACTTACCCAAGTATTTTTTAGCCATACAAACATTAATCTAAAGTTTGTTACCATGGTTTAAATGCGTAACAAGGTAAACTCTCACTAAAATGTTAAAAAGTGTATGTTGAAGCAAACTTTTTTTTTACAAAATTATCAAAATTGGACCCCTTAGGGTGTCCAATTTTGATAAACTTGGGTAAAAAATTTTAGATAAAAATTAGGCGTTCTCTTAAAACTTGCTAACCTGATTGATTAATAAAACTAACCTTAAACACAAATACTTAATCAAATGTTTAGGCGTAATGAACATATTAGTTGGAGTAATCATATCAAAATAGTAGTAAAGTTTTTATGTTGAAAAATATTTAAAATTATTATTATTATGTATAAAACGAAGCATCTATCAAACGGAACTTGTTTAAAAAGTATCTATTTTTTATTTATTTTCATTTATTATAAATATGTATATATATATATATATATATATATATATATATATATATATATATATATATATATATATATATATATATATATATATATATATATATATATATATATATATATATATATATATATATATATATATATATATATATATATATATATATATATATATCAGTGGTGTAGGATTTTTTTTAACTAAATTTATATTCGTCAACAATTTTTAAGTTTCATTAAATAATCATTTAACTTTCAAAAGTAATTTCCATCTTCCCAAAATAAAGGGATTTCAAATTTCACATGGTCATAACTTTTAAACGCTAAAGAGTTATTAGATGTAACTTAAAACCTCTCAAAGAATTTAAGTTAATTATAAAACTATTAAAAAAATATGTATGCCTTATTATCTCAATTTACCTAAAAATGTGGTACGTTACAAAGCGAAGGAACATTTTGGGATATTTTTGTTCCTAGGTTTCAATTATTTTGGGGTATTTTGTTTCCCGGATGACTGCAGTGTTTTACAAAATATTCTTACTTGACATAAACATGGACGTACTTAGGTTTAAAGTTTGTAAAATGCATAAAAGTGTCCTATCTGAGACATCAATAAATCCTGCCTACGCAACTGAAGATAAAAACCAGAATAATATGGTTAATAATAATTGGCAGATGTCTTATCTTGATAAAAGTATATCACATTGTATTAACTAAACGCAAAGTACGTACTTTACGCAAAACTGTTTCAATAACTAAGCTATTTTTGTAAAATGATAATGTAATACTCGCTTTTTAAAAGAATGTAACAACATTGCAATTAGTAAACAAATCCTGACGGATTACTTCATTCCTTGAGTTGGGTGCAAGTTAGAGTGCTATGATAACTTTTTTTTAAAATACTATGTGAAATCTTTTCTAAAACATGAAAACTATAAATATAATAAAACAAAGTTTAAAAAGTTATAGTATTGTTGATTAGACATTATAATAAACATTTCAGTTAAGAAAAGGTTCTCAAGAGCATCATCAGACTTAGTCCGGTATGCTCGGATTTTCATAGCTCAGAGCCCTCTCTCAGCAACCTCATTCGTTCTATGCATATTTTTTAATGTGGTTTTAACATCAAGAATTTGTCTGGTCAGAGCTTCTTGGGCTGTAATGCAGGCTGATGTGGCCTCTTTCAGGTTCACCCAATTGAGTTTCTCACTCATTTTAAACCATGCGTGTGACCAAGAACAGCTAATAAACTTAGTTATTTCTTTTAATGATTGTCTTTCTTCTGGAATAGGAAACAAGCCCAGTAAGATTTAGTTGTTGCAGTTTAGTTGGTAGCTCCAGTTTGTGTAAAATATTCATATTCAAGCAATGCCTAAAAACAATGCATAACCTGAAGAAAAAAATACACAATACGGATATACAATTCATACATATCATTGATGTTGAAAAATGATAAGTTTAATGAAACAAACTTTGTCAATAGTCTTTAATCATCTTTCCAACTTTTAACAGGAAGATTTGTGCAGAACGTTATATGATTCTTTTAATTGTGGGTACTTACCTTTTAGTTTCTATATAAACTTAAAATCAGTTAGAGCAGATGATTTTGATGGTTTTGGTGAATAGAAAATTACAATTTTTTTAAAAAATGGTCTCAAAAGTGAGCATTACACCCATAAACGGAACATGTCTGTTAAATAGGTCAGTTTGTGAAATGCCTATTATTCCACAAGAATCATCACAAGCTCCACCTAAAACAAAATGTAACTAATTATTGCATCATACATATTTGTAAATAAATAATAATATTACCTTTACAAACCAGAATTGACAGAGCAGGTGTTACCATCAAAAGATAAAATAAGTTTCTCAATTGACAAAACTATCTTAGGTTTAAAAAAAGTTATGACTTGCAACCTTTTACCAGCTCTAAAAATAGTAATAATGGAAATAGCTTAATGAGTGAGTTACTCTAGCTCTTTTGTGGGTAAAGATTTCAGCTTCTGCACAAACCACAACAAGTAATATTACCTTAAATTAAAAACAGTGTAAATATATTTACAAAAAAAGTTATAATTTTTATTTTGAGAAAAATTTTTGATTTAACTCACTTTTGATTTAAGTTTTTTTATGGGTGATTTAAACGAAAGCTCAAAACCATCATTTTATGGGTGATTTAAACGAAAGCTCAAAACCATCAGAGTCGTCATCATTTTGAGAGCTTGATTCTGTATATAATTGTTCTGGATAATTAAGATCCAGGTTTTTTTAGTATCAGTTACTTATTATCAGAATGGTCAATTTTTTAAAAGTTTAAAGTTGATTTTCTCTTCGAACATGTTTTATATTCAACCACAAGTTTATTTAATTTTTTTGTGTAGCCAACTCTGGTAACTGATCATAAACTAAATTTCATATTCCATTGCGGCTCTAATTCCTTCACTATTATTTGTATAACAACTTTTGGTGGTGCAAGGTGTGTGTCAACTAAATGGTAATGGTAGCCAAGAATATGCCGAACTTCTTGAAATTAGCCAAGCTTTTCGTTCATAATCGAAATGGAGCAGCTGAAATCAGAAGCTCCCTCGATTCTTTTGAACATGGTGGTCTAGAGTTGTCTGCCTTTCTCTTTGAGGCAATTATAAGAGACATATTTATGGAAGTATATTTATAACTAAATTAGAAAATTAAATAAAAATACTTTGTTTCTACTCCAACTATGATAAACAAGATATTTATAAAATAATAACTACTAACTTCATCTAATTTAAAAACGATATAAATATGCTCTAATAAAAAATAATTAAATTTAAGTAATCCTGATAAGTATTTTTTTCTTATTTCTATAAATATAACTTTTTTTTGATCTATTTTAAAATATTAAATAATTTTTGATTAAACTGTTTTTAGAATACATTTATTGACTTTATGGAAAATGCTTCATGAAAAGATGAAAAATAGCATCACCCTAGTGCAGGTATTTGTTTGTGCTGTATAGAAAAGGTTCAATAGCAACAAATTTGGTTTGTACCGCCATATTTAGTAATTTAGAATTTTCTTTAAACTTTGACAACGTGGTGTCACAAAACTCTATTTTTTTTAAACCATCTCCGCTCAGCTCTTGTACTGTACTCGGTCTAAATTTTTGAAAGTTTTCTTCTTGAATAGTACAAAAATTACTGCTTGTGCTCATACCTATTTCAAATTGATAAGTTGTCAGGTTTCGTCGACCATTTTCTAAACGTTTTGAATAACTTTTTCTGTAACAATAAAGCGAGAGCGCCTGATCGTTTTCAATCGTGAACATTGCCTGTCTCCGTAAACTTGTCAACCTAAGTTCAAACCGTTTTCTCAGGAGTTGGTGGAAGGTAAAATTTTTCCTATCTAATCTATACTAAATTAAAGCATGAACATAACTTACAAAACACCCTGTAGTCGTTTAAAAATAACATGCGTAAGTGTTTCGAACACTTAAAAGACATTATTATAAATGTATATAAATTTACAATCGCTAATAACAATTTACAAAAACTTTGTTGAATCAAAAAACAAAACATTCACTTTGTATAGTTTAGTTTAGTTTGAGTAATCATTAATTTAAAAATACATACATCTAAAATTTGTAAAAATTTATCAAATTTTGAAAGAAATAAAAAATTTTAGTTACTTAATTTAAGTAATTTTAATTACTTTATTAATAAAGATGGATTGCATCACGCGACCCGAGTGCTTATTTATTCCATCACCATTTTAAAATGTTGGAAGAAAATATTAAGTGATCTTAAAAAAGTAACAACTAACATTATGCAATAAATTTTAAATTTTAATAATAACTATTGAAAATATTATTTGCTATTAAATTTACTAATTGTTTATAAAAAAAAAGTTAAAAAAATTAAAAAATCAAAAGTTTTATTTTTATTTTTAGATATTAACGCGAAAAAGTTCTTTTAACATTTTAAAATGGAGTTGAAATATATAATCACTCAGGTCACGATCAGACACATATACTAACAGTATTCACTACTTATGTATATCTGTCACACAAGTATCTATCTTAAAAGTATGTTAAAAAACATATGTAGAAAGAAACTTTTATGGTTCGTGCAGATCTGAAACAATATGCGCAAAATTTCTTAAAGCACTAGTAACAATAAAATCCTATATTATTCAAGTTTTCTTTTCTTTAGGCAACAGATTTGTTTGTAATGGTTCTCAATGATATGAAGTGCATATTGTAACCACTTTGGATCTTTGACTTTGTTATTGAAATTTAAAATATTATTTGTGTTGTTATCTTTAGTTTTTCTCTATTAATGATGCAATTTTTCATTAACCCGATTTTTGAACGTGTTAACTAAAGTTAAGTCAACTACTTTTTGCGGCAGAGTATTCCACAGTTAAATAATAAAAAAATAAAAAAACTTCTGAACAAATTCTTTATCTGCATGCACTCCCATTCTCGCTATTTTTGACAGTCATTTATTGTAACCTCAGATACTGTTCTCTTTTTTGTTGATAACAAACAACTAAATAGTACGTAGAACGTTTTCAGGAACCTAGATTAAAAATATGGATTAAGTTACCTCTTTTTTCTTCTTTTTTCGAGTGTAGTGAGGTCTAACATGACTACACACTTCTCGGCAGTCCGTTCTTTAATTCCAGATTTTGTTTTCGCAGCACGGTTTTGTAGCACACCTTTTCCAGGGGTGTTTCCCTGTTATAGTGGTATGGTAACCACGCTTAGATAGCCTACTCAAGGTGGGAAAACAAACGTGGTGTAAAGTTCTTTCTACATTAAAAAAACTACTTGCTCTTGTATCTACAATTCATTAATTTAGTTACTATGGTTTTTATACACATTCATTCAAGAATTCTTTCTTTGCTAAATAAATCTCTAAAGAAGCTATAGTGTTGCAATTGTTTATGATTGTGCAAACAAAACATTACAAAATAATAATAATTGTTGAAAGCGTATTGTTGTGTAGCAATCATTACATTTATGAAAGTAGTATTTTTTAACAATAACTCTCAAAAAACCCAAACAAATTAAAAAATTTTTCAAACTTATTTTTCTTCCTCTAAATTTTACAATTTATGTAAAATTTAGGGTAATGGTCCTAAAATTTGATTGAGTTTTGTTGAGGAATCATTTGAGAGGAACTTTGTTGTAAATTTACCTGTTACATAGCTTCTGTCATCAGATCGAATGCCTCGAAAAAGTTTGATAGGCACAACCTCTTGAAAGTAAAACCATGTTAGCTTTTTGGTATAATACTTTTAAAAGTGCAGTGGTTCGTAATCTGATCTTGAACAAATGTTCAATATTTTTGAAGAGGATACTAGGGATACTAGTCAGTAATCAGATGCTTTAGTTTAGAACTTTTTTTTAATATTGGTGTATTGTTTAAATATTTACAATCTTCTGGACTTTTAGTAAGGAAAGTCTAAAAAATAAGTAGAAATCGCTATGGATGGACGTCGTCGAGTCATTTAAAGTTTGACGTATTATCTCTCCGTCATTTAAAATTTAGTCTCACTTCACGGTCCTTTAAAACTTGTATTTAATTTTTTATATTCTACTTTTTTTAATATTGGAGCGAATGGACTTTGCGTTATGCTTTGAGGCTTAAATAGTTATGGTTCGTACACTAACGCTATTGATTTAACATCTTTAGCATCCTGTCTGCAAAATTTAGTGCGTTTATTTTAAAGGATTTCATTAGTAAAGCGCTCAGCAGCTAAGTATGCGCTCACAGATTTCCTTTTCTTCGATCATCTCTTGAACTATTAGTGAGCGAGTCAACAACTTTGACAAAAGGAGTGTTTGAAGCTAATATATAACGCTTGCAAACGTCTTTTTGCAACTGATAAAAATATAGTAACAGCTGTAGTTGTAATGAATAATTTATCTAATCAAACGTTTTTATGTAGCCTATCCTCATACTTAATATATAGCCATCATATATAGCCTATCCTCATACTTAATTACACCGATTGCTACATTTCCAGTCGTGAAAGTGCCTGATATTATTTAGTGTGTTTACTCTTGCCACTAGTAATACTTTCTTTTTGATGTCATCAAGACAATCCTAAACATGACCAAAAAACTGTTTCACTTGGCCAGTTTTTGAAAACATGACCTACTGTCCTTATCCAACACCTGGGCCTACTTCTTTGTATTCGGTGCCTGCAAAAATAAAATTATCTTAACTTATTGAAGCTGCCTTCTATTTGGCGAGTGATGCTGTTGTCTCATGAAACAACATATCATTTATGAATCATCCACTTTGAAACTACTTTTATATAACTTCGTTTTTTAAACTACCAAGAATGTTCTAGTAGGATGCTCCACTTATTGATTTATTGTGCTGTAAATAAATACATTACCCTCTTTTCATTATAAGTTCTTGATTTTGTTTTGAAAATGTTATTTCGGCATATCTAATTGACGCTGATTTCTAATTACTGCTTCAAGTACTTTGGTTAGAGTTGCGGAGAGCATGCTGATAAAAAGGTCTTAAACTTTTTTTTTTTTTAAGTTTTTAAACAGTTTTTAAACGTTTTTAAACAGTTCAAGAACTAGATGTTTTTAAACGATGAATTAGAAGCTTTTAAACAGTTCAAGAATTAGATGCAGTTACTAGCGCTGAGGAGATGGTTGCGGTATAGTTCCGATCTGTTAGTACGCAGGCGTTACTTGATTAGCAATTTCAACAATCTTATTGCACATAGATTTATTCCATGAGGCTTAATCGTTTTAGTATGTGTTTAGTGATTCCAGGATATTAACTTTGTATGAAAGTCTGTAGAAAAAAGGTAAAAGTTAAATTTAAAACAATAAAACTGAAAATATAACCTAAAAAACTAAAAACAAAACTTTTGTTGTTTGTTCTAATATAACTAGAAAAATTTAACAAAAAGGGTGCCTTAAATTGCGCCTATTCCCACTGCGGAAAACCTACAATAGTAATGCAACCTTTCGGTCTCACCTAGTGGTTTCACCTAGCCTATAGTAGACCAACGAACAATTGAGTTTAATTCATTTGTCATAATTATTTTTGAATTGGTCAACTGTCTTTGAAGCAATGACGAAATCTGGTAGACATTCCAATAAGGTACTAAATGATTGCATAAAAAATTATGTATGGCTGAATTTCTAGTAAACTCTCTATAGATTTTGAATTTCACATCTTGTAGACCACCAACTGGGCCATTGACTGTTTATGGGCTGAGTGTATGATTTTGCCATATAACTACATTAAGGTTCTTGGAAATTTTAAAATATTGTATCAGTTCACCTCTGCGTTCATATAAAGTTTTTAAACCCAACTTAGCCAGACGCGATTTATAAGTCAGATTCCGTAACTTAGGAAGTAACTTAGTAGCACATCTCTGTACCTGTTCAAGTTGTTCAATATTTTTTTAAGGAATGGATATCAAACTGGTGCGCAGTACTCAAGCAGAGGACAAACATAAGATGTGTAAAGTTTGAGAAACATACACACATTCCATTTTTTAAAGGTTCTCTTAAGCATAACACAAAATGGTTTATTTGGTTAGCCCATTTGAGCTTGGTGTTTATATAAACTCCTAGTGTTTATATAAACTTAGAAAGTCGTAACTCAATTTTATTTGGAAAAAAAAGTGCTTCAAGATTCGGTTCGCAGGAGGCTTTTGTACAAAGAGGAAAATTCGGATTAATTGGGTCATTGTTAGGTTTAGAGAAGGATTTGTAAAACTGGTCATTCAGACAATCAGCAATAGTTTTTTTATCAACAAATTCAGTACAACAGAATTAATAAGCGATTAGATTTCACTACTACAAGATTTTTGGTTGTTCACATAACGAACTGGGTGAGAAAACAATCACTAATTATTTTAAGAAATTCACGACTAGCAGGTTTTCCTTTAATACAATAACCACCCAGATGGGTCCATTTAATATTACTGTAATTGAAGTCACCAGCAATATAT